TCAGGGATGAACATGTGAGGCCAGGACTCCTCTGCAGGTCAGAGGTCACTTTCAGGGATGAACGTGTGCACAATGCTGGTTTGAGAGGAGTGAAGGAAGCCATCTAAACAGGACGGGGGTCTCCAGGTTTAACTGTCCCCCTCCTACAATGATGTTCTTTCTTTGCACCCATTGCAGTTTTCTGGTCATCACCGATTTCTAAAAGTCTGACCTGTCGATACCGATTTAGTTTTATAAGCGACTCTGTCTGGAGTTATAAAGTCACAATGCACCTTCAATTTTCCAACATTGTTACTGAAAAACTTACCTTGAACAATATCCTAGAAACTATACCAACTTGTTTTAACTGGCCATGAGGTAAAGCTCTGAAATATAAATAAAGTTCAGACAATTGTTGTTAAAACTAAAAAAATCTGTAAAATCGGTTTGCCATGCAAGTACCGGCCGATGTCCTAAAATTAAAGAAATCGGGGCTGAGAAATCGTCCGGCCGATTTATCGATGCACCACTAGTTATTGCAAGTATCACTCATCCCTATTCTTTCATTCAACCTTTATTTAAACAGGTAAATTCCATTGAGCCTCGAGGACTCATTTACAGGACAGACCTGATTTAACAAAGAATGATGACAACAATGGACAGTTACAAAAAGTCATACAGATTTATTTATTTTAACAAATAGGATGGCTAAAACAAAGAAAAGTAACAAAACCAGCTAGATTCTAAGGTGAATGCAGAAAACTAAAAACAGGAACATGTCTGCATCGATCCCTGCCAGGAGTCCAACTGATTCTTAAAGACCTATGTGGATAAGCAGTGAATTCAGTTTTGTCACTTTTTTTGTTGCGTAGTGTTAGTTTAATTTTATTTAATTTCAGGGATCTTAATCCCTTCTTTCACACTCGCAGCTACTGCAGGCCCTAGGATGTTCCAGAATTTCACAGTGTTTTGTTTTTACTTGTGCATTACATTTCAAGATTGATATTGTTGCAGTAGACTAATTTATTTACTTTCCCACACAGGATTTGGATAAAATTGCTGAAGCAAATGAACTTTTTGATGCTGTTCTTACTGGTACGGTCAATCAAGACAAGATCGCCACAAAAAGTTCCTCCAGACATACTCCAGCTAAAGACGGGGGTAAATCAACTGATGCCAAACCACAAAAAGCAGGATCGTCTCAGAAGAAGTTGTCTATATATGTTGGAAACTTCCCCTGGGTAAGTACCACCCTCTAACTGTGAACATGGAGCCTGATCGTCTTAAAATGAACATTTTGCATTAGCTTCAAACAATAGGCTAAACTGTTTGACATGGCAAACTTCTTTATTTTTTTATATGAAAAACTTTTCTTCTTCTTGAATATCTGACAATAATTTTATTTGAAATCATTATCAAAATTTACACCTAATAATTGTAGTTTTTTTTGGTAATGATAAAACAATTGCTTTAAGGTCTTAAGTAGGTTTTTAAGACTTTGTCTTCATAAGACAGTTTTTAGTACAAGACTTCTTTTTATACACGATAATTAAACAGCAGCAATGTCTTGTATAAAATCAGTTTCTCGTTCCAGACCACCAACTGGCATTTAGTATTGCATTTAATTATCAGTGACTCAACAGTAAAACCAAACTGTGCTTTACATATTTAAATAATTAAAAATTATGAGGAACAATGGTTCTCTGTGGAAAACCAGGCTAGGATCGTGAACCTTCGTTCATTTCTCTATATTTTGTTTGCAAGGAGCTGCATTCTCTCAAGTTCTCTTAAGATGTCTTTCTAGGGCTGGACGATCTATTGATATTTTTAAAATATCGATATAATTTAATTCACGATATAAAATGAGACTATATTAATCTAAAACGATATATTCTTAGGGGCCGTTTACACGGCACGTGTTTTGAGTGAATCCGCTCCTTTCTCTCTGCGGTTCTGCTGTTCATCACACGACACCAGTGGACCCCTCCTTGTATCCGGGCGTTTCTCGACCCACCTCTCAGAGGAGGTTTTTGTCTCACCGCCCACTGAGGATATCAACACCTCCCGCTGAGGCTTTGTGTTAAACAACATGGCGGCGGTTAATAATTAAGTTGTTAATAAATGTGCCTGTGTGACAACTGGGACGAAGCTTTGACTCTGAAATCTGTTTTTGTTATTACTTTATGGAAAGAAAAGAATATTGAGATATATATTGTATATTGCATTTTATCTTAAAATATCGAGATATTCATTCATGTCTATATCGCCCAGCCCTGTGTCTTTCTCAGTATAAAAATAAATACACACCACCACCGCCCATCTTTTCAAAATATCTTTGCATGTTAAGTTATCAAACACTAACCTGAAATAAAGTCAGCTGAACTTAAAATGAACCAGTGTTCAGTGTAAACATAATAGGCAGCTTGGCAAATAAACATTTTTAAATTGTATTTTAAGACGGTTTGTCACCATGAGCTTGCTGCAAAAAGACAATGCTTCAGTGTCGGTGCGCTTTCGTTACTTAAGCTGCAACTATGAAAACAATCTCTGTTCTCCACCGTCTGGCACACAATGTTTTTCACTGACAACGAGTTTTTCAAAATGACATAAAAATAACTTTGTAGAACTGCAGAACTGATCTAAACGCATGCATCAGGATGCAGAACTGATGCTCTAAGTCGCTTAAAAATTACAAGATCGTCAAAGTCCTTGATGCAAAACATTAAAAATAGTAGGTGACCCATGATTTGCAGGACGGAGTTTTGTGAATGAGCTATTTTTCTGCTTTTGCACGAGTGTAGAGTAGGATTATGTAAGAAGTCTCTGTGGAACTGGGTCTCCTCATGTCCTGTTGTCCTTCCCTCCCCCCACACCTGCTTCTACTTGCAGTGGACATCTGATGAGGAGATATCTTGTATCGCCCAAAGACTTGGCGTGAAGGACATCAAAGAAATCAAATTTGCTGAGAATCAAGTTAATGGCCAATCCAGGGGGTGAATATTACAATATACATGTCAAGGGTCACTAATCATTTGAATGTATGTATTTTATGTACTTTATATGCGTCTTATTTCTGTGTCACAGCTACGCAGAAGTGGTGGTAACATCAGAGGAGTCACTTAAAATTTTATTGGAAAAAATACCACAATGTCACATAAATGGGGAATTGTTAAAATGTCGATTTGCCACTCTTCAAAACCTCAGTGTGTTTGAGGCAATTGCCAATAAACGTAAGATTATTTTAAGCTTTAAAACGATAGATTTCATTATCATCTCTCTTTTCTCTCTTCCTTTGTTTTAACTTTTTGTTTTCTCGGCAGGTATGCCTTTGCGTGTACGATCAGATTCTAAAGATTCAGATTCCACAGAATCTAATTCTACAGGAAAAGTTCCCACGTCTTCTTCCAGCGTCCCCCCCATTCCTTCACTTTTTCTACCACGTTCATTTCCAAACAGCTTTCCTCCACCTTCCAACCCGTTTCTTCTCCAGCCTCCTCCACTGTTCCCAAACATTCCACCAGGAATCTCTCCTCTCATGCCACCACATATGTTTCCTCCCCCTCCTATCCCCCCCCAAATGCCTGTCCTGCCGTCTCCCAGTCTTCACATGAATCCAGCGTTCTTCAGCCCTACACCGGACACGAACAGCAACAAGCCATACAGCCAACAAGGGTAAGAGCACATCTGCTTGTTCTCAAGTCAAGTTTATTCATAAAGCACATTTATGAAACCGTCTCTGTTGGCCAAAGTTCTCTACAAAAAGTTATTTGAATAAAATCAGTAAATGATATGAAAGCAAGAAAATTATCTAAAATATAATGAAATATAACATCAAACAAAATAGTTGTCCCTAGAGCAATAATGTGTTTTTAAATGATTAAAGCAGGAAAAAAAAGATTTCCTTTTGGTTGGAATTAAAATTAATTTCTAAAATGATTTTTTATTTGATAGAAAACCACCTCAAAATAAAGATGGAGATTTTGAGGAACTAATGAGCAGGAACAGAACCATTGCCAGCAGCGCAATCACCAAGGCCGTGTCTGGAGCAACGACTGGTGAGTGCAGATGATCGGGTTTGCTGTGACGCGCCACGAACAGATGAAAAGTCCGAACGCAGTTTTTAACGCCGCTTGTTTATCGAGCAGGTGCCTGTAAAACATAAAGCAGATGAAAAGTCCGAACGCAGTTTTTAACGCCGCTTGTTTATCGAGCAGGTGCCTGTAAAACATAAAGCACAAACATGACTCAAGAATTTCTGACTGTTTTTATGGCAAAGGCAATTTCTGTGTTTTTTTTTTTGTTTTTACCACAATCATTGGAAATTTGCCAAATATGTAATATCAAAATTGTCAAATATAAATATAAATAAAAAAATATTAATGATAGTTTAGCAAAAAATATAAATTAAATACTGTCAAAGCAGTGTACCTTAGTTATTTGTTTTTATTCATTTTTAAATTAAGTGCTTCAGTTTTAGTGGTTGCTTGTGTTGTATGAGATTTCTGGAGTTATGGTTTAGTTTTTAAAGAATGACTCAGTTATCCATAGTTTGGGGGGGGGGGGGTTGATGTTGAATTTTTAAGGCTTTAACCTGAAATTTAAAAGTGCTAGAAATTGTAACTTCTCTGAAATACACACTTTAATAGGCTTAGCCTCAAATAATTTCAGTTGTTTTCATTCAACCTTTATTTAGACAAGTTAATCCCATTGAACCTCGGGGACTCATTTACAAGAGACACCTGATTTACCGACTACCTGAATGAGCACGGGTGCGAATCTCATGGTCTTTCGATTCAATTTAAATTTTTGGCGTGACGATTCGATTCAAAATCGATTTTCGGTTCAGAAACAATTTTTCTATTGAAACGGTCATAAATTTGATTTCAGTTATTTAACTGACGAGCTGAAAAGATTAAACAACAACAATGTAAACAAATAGAACATTTATTTAAAACAATAATTTTATGTTCCTTACTGTAACAAATCTTTTTGCATCCTTTTGTATTTATACCAAAAATAGGAACAAATACAGGAGTGCATCAAACTCTAACTTAAATTACCAGTATTAGCTTAGCTGCCTGGATTTTTCTAATATAAATAAAAATCTAGGAACAAATAATAAATCCGTCCATCCATCATCTTTACCCACTTCTCCTTTTTGAGTCACTGGTGTCACTGGTGCCCATATCAGCCATCACTATGCGGGAGGTGGGGGACACCTGGACACGTCTCCAGTCCATCACAGACAAATGATTCAAAATATATAAATACAAAAGTAAACGGACTTCAGCCTACTATAGTATATTAACCTTTAACTCAAAATAAAATACAGACTTCACTGTTTTTAAACCATATTGATTCGTATTTGGTAAATCCATCCATCCATTATCTTCCGCTTATTCTGGTCGGTTCACGGGGGCAGCAGCTGAGCAGGGAGGCCCAGACCTCTCTCTCCACAGCCTCTTCCAGCTCTTCTGGGAGGACTCCAAGGTGTTCCCAGGTCAACCGAGAGACATGGTCTCTCCAGCGTGTCCTGGGTCTTCCCTGGGGTCTCCTCCCAGTTGGACATGGCTGAAGCACCTCCCTAGGGAGGCGCCTTCCCAGGGAGCATCCTTACCAGATGAACCACCTCAACTGGCTCCTCATCTTTAACACATTTCAACAAACCATTTTGTATAATTTATCGTAGTGGGGGAGTGGTGGTGCAGAGGTTAGAAAAGATGGGCCTGTGATCGGAAAGTCGCAGGTTCAACTCCCGGTATCATCTACATCAAAAAATGTGGGTGGAAAAGGTGAAACTCCCACACCTGCCTCCACCCTCATTTGCCCCGCTCTGGGCCCCTGAGCAAGGCACTCAACCCCCACCATCTGCTCCCAAAAACAGGTCTCTTGAAAATGAGTTCCCTTGACTCAATGAGACTAACCTGTATCAGAGTCAGAGTCAGAGTTTCTTTATTGTCATTCGCACCTCATGTGGTACATGTGGTGGAGCGAAATTATGTACACAGGGTCCCAGTTACATCCAACAATAAAATGTATAAGAAAAACAGTAATAACATCTAAGATATGAACTAAGAAAAACATCAACTAAATATACACTAAGCACTCATAACATAAAACATTGAACATCAGTATAAATTAAGGGTCAATGAAAACATTTTTTAGAACTGGCTCCAGACGATGTCTCATCTCTTGAACCTGTTAAAAAGACAAATTACATTAAATCTTTATAACTTGTCTATATAAGTTTTGTATAAAATATGAGACACGGTTACTTTTGAGCTGCAGCTGGAAGCATCAGAGCTTCTCCCACTTCACTCTTTGTTTCATGGTGGAGTTGTGGCGCAGCGTTATCACTGAAAAAGCTGCGTGAGGGAGTAACGTACGTTGGGTCCAGCATATTAAAAAACAAACCTAAACCCCTCGCCTTCCACTGAGCTGGCTGCTCCTAAATCCTTTGTGATGTAGCAGGAGATGGAGAGGGAAATCCTGCTGGTCTGCTGCTTTTGCTTTTCATCTACCGCACATTTTGTCGCATTTCCAAAATCCTGCACCACTGTTTTATTTTACACTTCTTGCAAACAACCATGCTCTTGTTCAGCTCCGTCTTCCCTCGGAACATTGTAGGATCTGAAATGATTTTTAACGACGAAGGAACGGGTTGAATCGCGCTGTCCTCCCGCTCCACGCTAGCTTCATTCAGATAAAGGGAGCTGGCTACTAGCTTGCTGTACGGTGGCCTACACGGCCAAATCCTACGGCGGCTGAGCGGACACGTAATGCGATATGCAGTATGCTCGGGAGTAGGAGCGGGAACAAATAAATAAAACGCATTTTTAAATTGATTTACGGGCCTTTAAAATCAATTCAGAATTGCCAGGACTAAGAATCTAATTTCTTTAATAAATCAATTTTTTTCTGCACCCCTATTAATGAGACACTTGGCTTGCCATATTAGTCGAGGGCCCTCTAGTGGCTGAAAATGGTAGTGTTCAATATTTTCTATGTCAGAATGAATGAAATCGTCAGATCTCAGTCAAAAATGGGGTTAGAAATATGGGGGAGGGAACAATTGGGTTGCTTTGCTGTATAAATCACAGGAATGCTAATTTATGCCATAAACTCTGACTTGTACAGCGAAAAATACGATACACATTGGTACTATAATATAGCCATTGTTGCTAACATGGCCATTAAACCAAATCTACTGGTTCAGCTGCTTAAAACTAACTTCCTGTGCTATCTTGCCTCCTTACTTTCTAATGCAGGTGACACTGATATGGCCATGGAAACTTTATTAACAGCTATTGCCATCATTAAGCAGTCTAGAGTATATGAAGATGAGCGCTGCCAAACTCTAGTCACCTCACTAAAAGACTGTTTAGTTTCGATCCAGAGCAACAACGATTACGAGTAAGTATATACCAGGTGCTGTTTTTATCCTTGCAGAAACGGAAAATTAGAATTGGAAAAACCATTTGCTGTCATCTTATTTTACCAATTTATTTTTTCTTTGCAGGAGAAGAAGCCGCTCTAGAGAAAGAGAACGGGATAGAGGTCATGACAGAGACAATGAGCGCAACAGAGGTCGTGACAGAGACCGAGACTATGAGCGTGACAGAGAACGTGACCGCGACAGAGAACGTGACCGTGACTATGAGCGTGACAGAGAACGTGACCGAGACTATGAGCGCGACAGATATAGAGAAAGTTCCAGAAATGTCGTTTACAACAGGGAGAATGCAGGAAAGTTTCGAAGGCCCAGAGAACATTCCTGGAGTGGAGAGAGAAACAAGGAGCGCTCCAAAGAACGGGAAGGATACAAAGATTACAGAGCTCGATACCACTAACCTGGTAAGATCACTCATTTAAGAACTCATACAATGAAAACTGATTACTTACAATTTTGCATTGTGTTCTGCAATCATTAAATGTGGGCTTCTTGGTTGCTGATTTACATTTAGAAAAAAAACAACTTGTATAATACAATAATTGAAGATGTGCGTCACTGGCCTTCATTCAAATAACACTTTAATTTTCATCCATCCACTTATTCCCAAGTCGGGTTGCGAGAGCAGCATCTTGAGCAGGGAGGTCCAGACATCTCTCTCCACAGCCTCTTCCAGCTCTTATAGGAGGACCCCAAGGTATTTCCAGGCCAACCGAGAGACGTAGTCTTCAGCGTGTCCTGGGTCTTCCCCGGCGTCTCCTCCCAGTCAGACATGCCCGAAGCACCTCCGTAGGGAGGCGCACAGGGAGCATCTTTACCAGATGCCCGAACCACCTCAACTGGCTCCTGTCGATGTGGAGGAGCAGTGGTTCTACTCCAAGTCTTTCCTGGTAACTGAACTTCTCACCCTGTCTCTAAGGGAGAGTCCAGCTACCCTGCAGAGGAAACTCATTTCAACCTCCTGGATCCATGATCTCATTCTTTCAGTCTCTACCAGAGTTCATGACCAGAGGTGAGGGGAGGAACGTAGACTGACCAGTAAACAGAGAGCTTTGCCTTACAGCTCAGCTCCCTCTTCACCACAACGGACCGGTACAGAGTCCACAATACTGCAGACGCTGCACCAATCCATCTGCCAATCTCATGCTCCATTCTTCCCTCACTCATGAACAAAACCCTGAGATACTTGAACTCCTCCACTTGAGGCAGAACCTCGACCCAAAGAGAGCAATCCACCCTTTTCCAGTTGAGGACCATGGCCTCAGATTTGGAGGTGCTGGTTCTCATCTCAGCTGCTTCACACTCGGTTGTGAACCGCTCCAGTGAGAACTGAAGATCACAGCACGATGGCGCCAACAGGACCACATCATCTGCAAAGAGCAGAGATGAATCCTGAGGCCACCGAACAGGATTCTCTCCACCCTCTGGCTGCACTGAGAAATTCTGTCCATGAAAGTTATGAACAGAATCTGTAATAACGTGCAGCCCTGATGGAGTCCCACCCTGAAGGGGTCCGACTTACTACCGGCAATGCGAACCAAACTCTTGCAGTTTGTATGGGGACTGAACAGCCCGTAGCAACGGGCCCCCTATCCCATACTCATGGAGCACCCCGCACAGGTAGCAAACTCCAGGCCTCGAGGGCCGGAGTCCTACAACCTTTAGATGTCTCTTTTGCCACACAGCTGAATCAAATAAGGAGGTCATTAGCAGGACTTTGGAGAACTTGACTGAACTGAGAAGCTAATTGAGTCATATGATTCAGCTGTGTGGCATCAGAGACACATCTAAAAGTTGCAGGACTCCGGCCCTCGAGGCCTGGAGTTTGACACCCTGCCCTACAGTGTACTTTGAGGAACACGGTCAAATGCCTTCTCCAAGTCCACAAAACGCATGTAGACTGGATGGGCAAACTCCCATGACCCCTCAAGGACTCTAGTGAGGGTAAAGAGTTGGTCCAGTGTTCCACAGCCAGGACGGAACCCACTGTTCCTCCTGGATCTGAAGTTCGACCAACGATCGGACTCGCTTCTCCAGTACCCCCCGACTAGACCTTACCAGGGAGGCTGTAATTTTGATTTTTAATTTTTACAGAAACTTTCATCACAACAGGAAGTAAAAAATAAATAAAATTGTCCATGTGTAACATTTACACAAAATCTAAATGTAATGATTAGCAAATCCCATAAACCAATGTTTTATCCTCAACAGAATATTGAATCAAAGATTGAACAGACCGCTTTAAAAGTCTGCATCGCTGATGGTATGAAGTTAGAGAAGTGCCTATAAAATTGACTTTTTGCACATCTGAAATGGCACCATCAGTGATGAAACGTATGTTGGGGATTTAGAACACGATTCCATTTAGATGCTAATGTATTAAGGAAAAGCCTAATCTATCAAGACAACGCTAGACTTCATGATGCATTCCATACAACGGCATGGCCTTGTAGCAGCAGGGTGTGGGCGCTCTGCTGACCACACCTTTCATTGTTCCAAAAACATTTGGTGCATCATATAATGCAGAATAAAAATGTAAACCAAGGCTGTTCAGTAGCAGGACATTTAAAATACGGGACATTGGACATTCTTCTTCCAAATGTCTAGCAATTCAGTTTCCAGATATTTTCAGATTGTTCGTAAAAATGATGAGATTCTACGTATTTGTAATCAAGGTACTCTAACCTTTCCAGATGTGTAGCTGCCATTAAACTCAATATGATTTTGATTTGACCTTTAACCAGGCGAGTCAGTTGAGAATAAATTCTCTTTTCATTGACGACCTGGCAAAGGTGAGCAAGTATTAGCTAAGTACTATTGATTTATCATTTGCAAGTAATCGCACTGTACATTTCACTCTTTTTTATTTGAATTGCATATTTTCTCAAGAATATACTGTATTTCCACAAAATTGCCTTAAAAAATGTCATTAGCAGCTAAAACCAAAACTTGAGTAAACTGTTTTCTATTACTCTGCTCAATTAATAGATTAACTAATAACCATTAGTTTTATAGATTTGTTTTGCTTTTAATTCTTGGGAAATAAATTCAAAAGTAATGTAGTTGGGACAAAAATAATTTATAATACATTTGAAAAACTTCCAACAGGTCTTAAGACCGATTCTTCGTACTTGTCCAAATACAAGTTAAAACGGAAAGATATTCAGGTGTGAGAAGTTTACAAACTGATGAATCTGGATTTGTCATCAGATTTGTGCTGCTTCATTATTTTCAGTCCGATTGTCAGGAAGTGGGGACGACTTCTGGCGTGGCAATGATTTAAGGATGCAAGAACATGTTAAATTGTACCAGTGCGTGATTTCACAGAAAGAAAACGTCGTTTTAAGGATTTTTTTACCCACACTTTACAAATGCTTGTACTTTGGTGTACTGTTGTTCACTACTTGAAATGATTTGTTTCTCTAGACTGAAGCTTGTGGAGCAGAAACGAAGGGGACCTTTTGTTTTTGCATCAAGTCGGTGTAAAGAAGATTCTTTGATGAAAATGAGAAATTGTCTTTTCAAAAGTATAAAATGTACTTTTTGTTTCCCAATCAGTCATTGTAGGACTTTGTTTTAATAAAAAAAAAACAATTTAGATTTGTCCATGTAATATAGAATTTCAACACATGCATGCAGTGAACACCCTTAATAACTTGTGTAACTGTTTTCATCTTTGTTTTGTATAAAATCTACAAATAAACATTTCTTTTCATATTCTGCTTTGCTGCTCTGAAAAATCCAAATTGTTTTTACATTTTACTCTGATCAATACACGAAAACCTTAGAGTGCACGTCTAACGAAGTGCATTGTTTTAAGTTATTGGTCATTTGTAGTGTCTGAGCTAAAGGACTGCTTCAGAGAACGAGCGTAGTGGTAGCACAACAGTGATAACAAGTAGATCATGGAAACCAGCTTTATCCATTTTATTTCAAAAATGCTTCATTGAATAGGTACTTACAATATTACTAGTCTTGCCTATAGGTTACTTGATGTCGCACATTACAAAAAACTACAAAACAAAGTCAACACAAACGTTCCAGGTTATTTCTCTAGTGGAGCATAATTCAACAATTTCTCAATAAGATCCACGTGAGAAAGCAGCATCCTCCGACAGCAGTACCTCTTCAGGCCCAGGGCATCGAGCGCATCACTAGATGGAGAGTGCGTAATGTCAGATGTTGCAGCTCAACAGAATGAACACATGCACACAATCAGTTTATTATTGCCACGTCAATGAACGAGGTTCACAACTAGGAATTTGCTTTGACATAAGGTGCGAATAGTAAAGTAAAATAAAGTAAAAATAAGAACATTACATAACACATAATTATGACGGAAGATGCATTAATGACCTTTTTTTTTACAGTTCATTGTATTTGGTAAATTTAGTCTCATGAATATGAGAAATTGTCTTCAAAAGTATAAAATGTGTGTTTTGTTTAAAAAAGTGTAGATTTCAAGTTTCTTTATTCGCATCACGTGATACATGAGGTGGAACGAAACTACTCAAGGTCCCAGTTACAACCAAAACTAACAAAAATATAAAGTATAAAAAGAAACCGTATATAAAGGATCTAAGATATACGCTAAATGAATGCTAAACGATACGCTAAACACTAATAATGTAAAATAATACGGTATAATACACAGCAGCCCGAACATGTGTGAGGAGTGAGTAGATGGGTATGAATGAATACAGCAGCAGGAAGAGGGCCACCTGCATCATGAAGGACCCCACTCACCCAGCACACACTTTTTGTCCCACTCCCCTCAGGAAGGAGGTTGAGGAGCATTAAGTGTAGAACCACTAGACTGAGGAACAGCTTCTACCCTGAGGCTGTTAGACTCATGAATCTCTAAACAGGATTGGTGATGTGTGACTTATCTGTGCTGCTGATTATCCAAGCTGCTTATTCATACCTAGTATGTGCTCACCAAAGACTCATGTTCAGGCCGCTGTTGTTATGACAAATTGTTTTACATTATAAGTGTTTAGTGTATATCTCAAGATCTTTTAGCGTACCGGTTGGCGTTTGTTTAGCATATCTTAGTGTATAAATACAGTGAAGCTGAGTGTGTGTGTTGTGAAATCAACCTACTGGACCTGAGACGAACAGAAGAGGGGGTTACATCTGTGCGAGGTCACGACCCCAGATGTAACCCCCTCTTCTGTTCGTCTCAGGTCCAGTAGGTTGATTTCACAACAAACACACTCAGGTTCACTGTATTTATTCTAGAAAGAGAAAAGTTGACATCAGTCCAGCAACTTCTGCCCCACAGTCAGGCGGCAACAGAAAACGGGGACAAGTTGTCGGTTAGTGGTTGTTGTTGCAGCGAGAGCTCGCGCAGGCCCCGAGCTACTGCAGCGAACCACCAACTGTCAAAGCAGCACAGCACAACTCTTGTATCAATAAATGTCAGGAGAAATAACTTTCTGACTAAAGGAATCTGAAGAATAAATAAACCAGTTCTGACAAACTTCACGTCTATAATAATGTAAAAATAAAATCCCGTTACACATGTGGTATAGAATTTCAACAGGGCCATCAAAAACGAACGTGTAAGAGCAACAGTCCTCACCCTTCAGTGTACTCTGCTTGAAGCAAGCCAAGGTAAGCTTCCCATTTGTTCCCCACAATCTTCCCACAGGTGAAGCACCTCACCGGGATGATCATTGTTGCACACCTGGAACGGCCACAAGATGTCGTCGTCTGGTTATTGAACTAGTCAAACAAAAGTGATTCAGTGGATCAAAACTGAATATTTTTAAACTGACATGCTATATATAATGTAGTCTTTTAAAGTTAACAAAGGAACTGAAAATCAATGTTTTGCTAGCTTAGTTTGAACTCGTTTGTTCAGCCTGGTCTGGAAAAAGACCGGCCCTTTTCTTTAATTGTGCTGTAACACTGACACACGGCTGATAAGGTACTAAATACTGATACCTACGCGACATAGCATCACTTAAAATGACTAAACTATCCTTTTAAAGCTAACGACACCACCTGCACTAAGCATGTAGTTAGCACACATGGCTAACTATCGCTACGAACATCCTTCCGCGACACGAGTTTACAAAAACGTATTTCTTTGTTCGGTCAGAAACACGAACTAAACACAAAAATCCCATTTCACTCACTCACCTTTTCTAGTCTGATTTGTTTTTTTACAAAAATATTATTTTCTGAGCTAAAATCTTCGAACACGATATAATTGCTTTCCTTTCGCTTGCCGTAGCCGCAGCGACAACTTCCGGTCCAAAATCACTAAAATAAAAGCCGAAGCGCTAAAATTACCTGGCGTGGAAAATAGTCGTAGATATAACCCGCTGTACAACAAAATAATATACGTAAATATTTAATGAAAATCACAATTTATTCTAAACTGACTATAACAATTAAAAGTAATTCATTAAACAAGCAAAAAAAAAAAAAAGTACGCATCCTTGATTGTCTGTTGTTCACTGTTGACGTCATTCTTTGTTAAAATTCAGGTCTCTCTTGTAAATGAGTCCCCGAGGCTCAAAGGGACTAACCTGCATAAATAAAGGTTGAATGAATGAAAGCTTCACTGTGCATGCCAATATTGATTTAAAAATGTTCTATAAATAATACCTACCATTGCATTAAGGTTAAATATCTCTTTAGGGACATTTAGACAAAGCCACACCAACAATGGTTTGGTGGACCAGGACAAATGATGATGCAGAGAAAATAACCACAAGTCACACGTTTAATAAATTATTGTTTTTACTAACCCAGTTGCTTTTAAGCATTGGTGTTAAGGTTACAATAAAACAGATTCATATTTCAAATGTCAAGTAGCTTTACCATCTAATGTTGTTAAATATAGATAAACTGAACATTAACCTTTATAGACGGTACTAATTAGTCACACAAAACCACTTGAATGATCAAAGTACTCACTTTGGCTGGTTCACTTTCTTTAATATGCTTACATTTTAAACTCCTTTTAATTACATTTGAATGACTGAAGATAGAGGAGGGTGCATAAGGAAGATATGTTAAAATAATAAAAAAAAATATTTATATATATATATATATATATATTATATCCATCATTGTCATCATCACAGTCACCATGATAAATATCATTGCCATCAGTAATATCATACAGTAATACTTCATCTATGTAATTTAATTTGCTACATCACATTGCTAAAAGAGGAGTCCTACCTGAATTATTGCATTTATACGCTGTTGAAATTATGAAAATAGGCATTTTCATATTCTTTTTTTCAGTACACCATTTTGTACAATGCAGGGTGAATTTTATTTTGTGTTGGTGTACCATCTTTTGGACATGATAAGGGAGGTTGGTTGGGGTGATTGTTGGAGGCTAATATAATATTTTTGGTCAGAAATGTGTTGAAAATATAATATTGTCTTTCAGAACGTTCTACTTTGAATAGAGGGACAGGAGTTGGATATATTGTGTGCAGCTGAACGTGTGAGTTCGTGCAGCCTTTTCCCTCTTTGAGTGAATTATGACAGGAAAATGATTTCTACTTTCATGCTGCTAGATCTGTAGGACATTTTAAAACTTTTTCCAAGTTAATGACTTTGAAAACAAAAAGAGAAGTGTGAAGAAAGAATTAATGATGACATTTTGACAGCAGGTTTTCAAACTGATACATCAAGACTATCAGCCAGTGTTACATGGTCAACACAAATCTATCACTACTGTTGCTGTTTAGCAATATACAAACACAATCATTTCAGGTTTGCATGATAAAAATAATTCTTTTTAATTCTACACCAAAACAACTTCATTAATACTCTGTGGCCTATGTCCTAAACAACCACGTTTTAGCCACTGCGCGCTTTAAAGTCCTGACCCTGAAACAAGTAGATTGTTTCAGATTTTATGGATATTGCTGTTGTTTTTTTGAGATCCAGAGATTATTGTCTCTGAAACAACGTACATTAGAATTAGACTATTTTTGCCTAAATTTGTTAGATTAGAAGAACTATCATGACAATGGGACAAATTGCACCACATACCTGTAATTAACATAAAAACAGTGGCATATGTTTGGGTGGCAAAACTGAATAAAGTCATTATTTTCACAAACAAACAAGAAATCAAACAACAACAAAAGCACACAACAATAAAACAAGTTCACCACATTTTGATTGTGTTAAATGCAGATTATTTTATAAAGTCTCACAACAAATTGGACAAAAATACTAAATAATGTGCTACCTGGGCGGGTGGTTGTTTAAAAATGCATATTTCTTTACAGTGCAACTCTTCTTTTACCAGCTCTTTCAAATGTATATATATATTTGTAAATCTCAAGTAAGATACAACCTTGAACTGTGATTTACAGGAATACTAGGAGTACAGTGGATTTAGATTTTCAAAGCCTTTAAAGCAAAAATGAACCAAGCTTGTTTTTGGTGCAAAAAGGCCCAAATGTTGCAACTTCCTGTTGATATTTGTGCAAACTGAGGAAATATAATGAAGTAGATATAGCAGCATTTAAAAAGTTTAGGCTCTCAAACTCAGTAATTGTTTTTAGAAATTAATTTCTTACATTTCATTGACAGTACTGTTGCAGCCTCATGCATATAGTGAGTATAGTTATGCTCCTCGTACAGCCCTCATAAAGACAGTAAATGGGTTGATCTACTATAAATGACAGCAGGCAAAATAAATAAATAAAAAGCAGTGACTTCCTATCTCCCTTCTGAACCCAGTAGTCTGTGAACCAGTCAGCAGTAATGCTCTAATATTCTAATTTGGTTTTAATTTTTAATTTCTTCTTGCCAGTAGCAACACTCCCAGCAAGATGGCTCCTGCAGCAATAACAACGCCACCTATGAGAAAGGGCTTTAGGTGCTCCAGAGAGTCTGTACCAGAGGCCTCATCACCTGCTGCTGCTGATTCAGCTCCTTCATCCTTGGAAATGGGAGGATTCACAGGCTCAGGGGCTGCAGGGGCTGCAGGGGCTGCAGGGGCAGGGTCAGTCTTGCGTGATGCTGCTGGCTCCTTCTTCTCTGCTTTAGATGCTGCCTTGGGCGCCGAAGCCCCGGACTTGGACTTAGCATCCATGGGCTCAGACAAGGACACAGGTGTGGTCTGGTCAGGAGGAGTCTTTGTAACGTCAGCTTTGTGCAGCTTCACTGAGAAAAAACAGACATGGCCAGATTATCCTCTAATTTAGGTTTGCTCATCATTTCATCTGTTCTAATGTGCATGAACAAACTGAAATATAAACTAGGCCCTGATTTTCATCTACTGGCTGTAGAGCATTGAAACAGTGGAGCCTCAACAATGACCTTGGAACAAGATGACATTGATGTGAGTTCTTCAGTGCTCAAAGAGACATGAACATGTTTATTTTGGTCACAGCTGCTGTGACATAACCACAAGATGAAGAAATATTCACCTTCAGAGCAGCTTCCATTTTTATGGGACAACTTCGACAAAAATGAGCAATTTAGAAATGAAGGCTGGAGTTGCAAAGCTTATACACAATAAAGACTGCATTTTGTTTTACCTCTAAGCAGGAATAGGCCAGATAGAAAAAAAAAGACAAATTTTAATCTATTTCTGTATCTTGCACTCTGTGCACTCACTACAAAACATCCTAATTCATGTTTGCTACTAACAGACTGCAAAATGGAGGAGAGAGAGACTGATGGAAAAATAAGCAAAAAAACAAATGAGGTTTATAGACGAGGAATAAATTCTGCAGAAAATGAATGCATCATAGCATTCTGAAGGTTATGAAAATGTAGACTGGGAAAATATATACAGAAAAATCTCCCATTAAATCCTGCTCTGAAATGGTAAAATAAAATAAGGACATTTACCTTTCCAACACCTCTAGAGAATAGAAGAATGTCAGATGGAACAGGAGTCAGAGCTTCTCTGGAAGTTGTAAATGTCCTTAATATTGGAAAATGAGAGACAGTGGAGAGATGGAGGACAGTGAAAACAGGGGGGAGGAAAATGAGAGGAAGAGGAGAAAAGACAGGGATGTACCATCTGGAGAGCCAAGGAGGGGGAGTCTGTTTTTTTTTTTTTTTTTTAAATCAAGCTTGTTACAGTAAGCATTACAGTATTACAGTATTACAGTATTACAGTATTACAGTATTTCAAAAAGAAGTAAAGTAGATGACAATCACATATTTTAAAATATGTGATTATACACACACACACACATATATATATATATTCAGGTGTTATTTATTTACTTTGACTTTACACTAAAATGCATTTCATAAATGTCGTGGTTCTTAAATTGTTTCATGACAAATTAATATTAATGCTGACAGCTTGTACAGGAATTACAACCCTTTTTTATTTTTAAATTTTGACTGAATATGCACATGTGTTTATTTATACAGAAACAATCAAAGTGACTGAGGATATGTCAAACTTAAAAATAATTTCAATTCAATTTAGTAATAATATTATTCAAATAGTAATGTAGAAATAATAATAATATAATTCAATATAATAATATATTATTATATTATTAATAATAATAACAATATAGCAATAATATTATAATAATTCAGTATATTATAATAATATAAATCAAATAGCAATAATAACATTAGTAATAATAATGATAATAATAGTAATAATTTTCAAATAGGTGCAAGAATGAGCCCACAAAGTCCATCAAGTGACTCAGTAGTGTTTGTTTTTTTCATTCAACCTTTATTTCTACAGGTAAATCCCATTGAGCCTCGAAGACTCATTTACAAGAGAGACCTGATTTAACAAAGAAAGATGACAACAATGGACAACAGACAGCCACAAAAAGGCATACAGATTTTTTTTTATGTGTTATTATTTTTTAATTTGTTTACAAATAAGATGGCAAAAAAAGTAACAAAAAACAGCTAGATTCTAAGGAGAATGTAGGAAAACTATAAACAGGAACATGTCTGCATTGGTCCCTGCCAGGAGTCCAACAGATTCTTAAAGCCACTTAGAGAGGTCAAAGGTCAGAGCTTCAGATCTTTTTGTAAGATATAATTTTATTATTATTTATTTATTAATTTTTTTGGTGGAGTTCAGTTCAGTTGGCTGAGAGAGCTGCTGTGATTCCATTGTGTAGACCAGCATCTCAACATCACATTCACTACACAACTGCAGCAAACTCATTTAAACTGCTCCATTTGATATAGTTATAGATAACACGTCTAAATCTACTTTTCAGTGTTTCGTACATTGTGCACTGATATTTACACTCAAGTTTTGTTATTAGTG